ATCCGGTGGGGTGAACTAGCCAACCGGGAGCCATCTAGCTGGAAAATTAAAACGGTAGAGGGAGAACAGGTGAACAAGTAAACAATTTTTTCAGCTGACTGTTCGGTTTACTGCAACTACGTTCAGATGAACGACCTGTGAACGAACTTGAGGAGGTTGGCTACACAATAATGGATGTGAATGAAGCAAGCGGGTGCCTGAATGTGGACAGTTTGTTTAACGTTGGGCACACATGTGAGGGATCAGATAAAAATATTTGTGCACAATATTTTAAATACTTGAAAATGTTGGTACAGTACTGTTACGATATGTTGGGTGCGAGGTAAAGCACCGGTCAAAATTTGGAATTTCAGGGATTTACGAATCAGTTTGAACGTCTGTACCAGGGAACTTTACCGGGCAAGCATGTAGGTAATAGGTGGTTGGACAAGGTGCAACCATAGACAACCCGTTTGATCAGATGAAGAGGGGATACAGAGTGCGAGTTAATTCCAGGAGCATGGAAAGAAAGTCAGCTGAATTCAGTGTAAGACCTCGGGTGAAGATAAGGCCAATATACTCAGACAATGCTTGTCATGCGCAAATGTAGCCGCACAGGTATAGACACTTTTTTACTGTAACCTTCTGTACCCTTCTGTTAGGAAAAATAGGACAATTCAAACGGTGTATAGACAGATTACACAATTTGCAATGCGGTCAGCGATTTATGAGGTATTATGTGGTGATCCTAACCTACGAGATGACTCATACCATGGAGAGACACGTTACAGTTTTAGGACAACTGTGATCAATCAAGCTTCACGGGTGACGTCAACAGAGCGCTTGCGTACCCCAGTTTCTGGACTATACACCATAGGTCGGTTGTATCATCCAATCAGAAACCGTGCGGCCCATACAGAAGCTGAACAATGGCAGAAATACTGGAACGCATTTGGCAGAGGCCCGGATGATCGATGAGTTTGTTTTGTACATATTATTTACATGACGTCCGTGATTGCTGACCCGTGATTCGCATTCCGAGTTCAGTGCGTACTACTACTACTACTACTACTACTACTACTACTACAGTTAATACATATTCCCCCTGTATTGGATCATTTAGATAAATGTGGTAAATATAGAAAAGATGATAATATATTGCTCGGCAAAAGGCCAAGACAGGAGGTTAGCGGGTCAGAAATTGTATCATGAAAGCGGATGTTCTTCTAGCGGTTTGTGCAGTAAACGTCGGTTGGTATAGGGTGGAGAGGGGTATATCTGTCCCCAAAAAGGGTTAAAAGCGTGTGTGGTTGTGCTGTCTTACTAAACTTATTGACAGATTGTGAACAGATTGTAGAAAACGTTCAGCGAAACATTTGTTGACAGCAGTGTAAAGAGATTCGAATGCGATGAAAATGTTTGTTATGACCGACACAGAGGACAATGGACAGCTGTTTCGTCCTGCTTGGGACTCGTCAGCAGCGCACACTTTTTGTGTATCCCTGTAAGGACTCTGTTAAGACCGAATTCCAACCGCGAAGCCATGCACCGTAATTCAGGGCCCGCAACCCAACACAGAAAATCAGATCACACAAACAAATCGTGCGGATCGGGATCAGGTTTACGATTTAATGAATGATCATGAAAGGACACCAATCGATTAAACGATGACAGACAATTAGGTCAAGCTGGAGCATGAACAAAACGGATTGAAGGAGTATTAGTCAGTGTCTGTCCTGAACAGCTGTGTCACGTGATTGGACGCTCAATGGGAACTGATAGACGAATGCGTACGTAGCAGACTCGAACCACGAACCGTCGGGTTGGGACTTCAAACCCTTACCTCTGAGCTACACCGTAGACGATCATCGTTTTGTGCGAATAATCCATTCGGTTTTTCACAGGCACCGGGCACTGTTGATGGTGTCGGGTGTGTGGGTTTCACTCCTTTGGAGATCAATGATTCTCCATTAGTTGAATGCATTTATAAGCGACAAAAAGAAATGTGATAACCGACAAAACAGCTGTCCAGTGCTCCTTGTCGGTCTTCACAAACATTTTCATCGCATTTGAATTCGTTTACCTCGTGGGGAATTAACGATAAACCAAGGAGTGAAACCCACACACTCAAGACCATCAACAGTTTGCTTGGTGCCTCTGAACAATCGAATGGATTGTTCCAAATTTACTACTTCTAAATCAGTCTGTCGTTGCTATACCCGCGATCGTTAAAACGACCGAAATCAAGAAACCCAGCCACTCCGAGGAAGGAAAAGACTATGACAATCGGTCATCGGATTGATCTGGCTAGTTTGTTTGACTAGACGTTGCGCAATCATATTGTCACATTGTTAGATCTTAGATGCGCCTTTCGGCCGTTAGAGGGTACCAACTGAAAAAATTCCAGGATGAAGTTAACAGGTTTCATTTGCTTTAAACACTGGTCAGAACAGAATGGGCAAAAAGACAACCGACAGAGATAGGCCTGAAAGCAGTTGGTCACTCACCAGTTGAACAAGTGAGCTTTACCTCAGTTAATGGCACCGAGGTTTAGAATTTAGCATTAATTACCACATTCGGGTGTCATCCAAACCCAGTGAATCTATGACTCAATGGCAAATGACCATTTTCGTTAGGTGAAAGACAGACGTGGAGAACACGAACAGCGATTGGTTGGTACCCCGCTTAGTCAATGATGTTTCTACTTGTATCTCCTTAATCCCATTGGTTTATGCCGACAAATAAACCGCTACTTCAGTGGTCTTTTATCTGCGTCCCGTTGACGGTAGACTTCAGTAGACGAATTCTAGTGCGATTTTGAGTTTCGTGTCCCTACCGATTACTACATTGTCCTTATTAAGGAAAAACAGTCAATTGTACCCAACTCATTTATATTTATTTATATTTATATCAACTGGACTCACAAACCGCCAACAATATATATAGACTTTTAAAAAATTTAAACACGGGAATGTCACTACCAAAACGGTTTCCCTGCCTTGTAGCGCCACGGCTTGGTAAGACTATTTTGGGTACGACACACTATGGGCAAATGGAGGTTGCACGCTAATGCGCTATGCGCACCTCTACCTCGCCTTACCCTCGCCCTGATCACATCAATGTGACAGAAGACTGGTACATTGGCCACAATTCAAAAATTGTGGGCTGCAGATGGGGTGGTGTACTCGATCGCTGGTATGTGGTGTACCAGGCCAGTGAAACAGGCAATTCAAATGTCTGCTGACCTACCTGGGCACACTACGCCTACATCACGTGATCATGTGATGAGAGCCTCGGATAATTAGCTCATTCAACCTCAGCTGACAGCTAGAGTGACAGTGAGTTCTGGAAATAACCCAGGCAGACAACCATGGTGGAAGGGGGGGGAGCGACAGTTATTCAACAGATCGAAGTGCGCGAGACCTCACAAGCCTGTGCCAGTGGAATGTAACAAAGGTAGTGTGTTGGTTAACAAGTCTGAATTTAGCCACCCGTATTCTGAGTGTAATGCTGCTGCTAGCGCTTACACCATGACTGTATCAAATGAGCCCTCGGGAGTTGCTTTAGTCTGATAAATTTTCAGACAACCATGAAATAATCAAATGGGTTAACGGGGGGAGGGGTTCGTGGACTTTTGTTATTTGCTATGTCCACTAACATAAGGCGATTGGCCCAGCCTTTCTGGACCCTCCACCCGGGATCCTAACTTGATTCAAAACCATGATAACCAAGCAAATGAACTGGTATTTGGGACTGTGACTCTGTTCCGACGTCAAATGGATTTGGTTGTCGAGGGGTGAAACGATATTGTAGCGATGGGGCATCCGTTTAACGATAATCTAATCATGACAGAGAAACTGAACGCTCCATCGAATAAAATGAACTCTGCTGCGAGTGCAATCCAACAAATGCGATTTGTTATCGTCTTGATGATGAGGTTGGAGCTAGGAGTGATGAGATAGATAACGATCTAATCGGTAGCTCAAATGGACTTACCTCAAGGCATCAGAGGGCTTGCCACCCGAACTAGCATCGGGTAGGAGACCATACTGTTTTATGAGTGTCACACGTCTCAGTGGACTGTTGTTAGGCTAATATGTGACCGGTGGATCAGGCAATTTCTGGCTCATTTCCATCTAACTGGCATCCCCGGTCCAGTGATTGTCCGTCATAACACCTCTTATCGTTCGTACTTGAAAAGTATGCTGACCGGAGTGAAATTTCAGATCGTTTCACTTTTCAGGCTTAAACCATACTCATATTTACATAATCCTATAGAAGATAACATATAAAATAGGGTTACATCACGGAAAGCTAGCTGCGTGCTGCTACGTGCCATAGTGTAATAAACAGTGGCTATCCAAGTAACGTAAGAACTGTTTCTCATTTACGGATGTTCGAAGCGGCTTTATCATTTTTTCGGCACATCACTTCAAAGGAGACACGCGCATTTAACTCGTTTGATTTATTCAAGTAATTAAATCAATCACTTATTCCGTGGTTTTATTCCTTGGTCTCAGCATCAGGAAATTCCGCTTGTTACTATGATTCCCGATCTGCAGACATTGGGTTACGGACCTTCCAAGCAGTAAACAGTTGCCCCTGCTCGCCAGTTCGTCAGAGCTCGAGGGAAGAGCAGAGCAGTTGTGAGGTATGGTGCAGTATCCTTGAAGACGGCAAATAAGTCAAACAACACTATCCCTCATCGCATTGGTATTCCTCGAGAAAGAATTTAGCGTTTCTGGAAGTTCATACCCTGCTACTGTATAAGTTCATGAAACGACTATTGCTGGATCATTTCATGCGAAATGCTTTCCGGATGCATGAACCAGTAAAATTCAATTATTTCATGTGCTCAGATAATATGAGCAATGATCCAGTTCTCCGAGATGACGCCAGCCAAGGTAATACCTGTTACAGTTTCTGGAAAACAACCATAGGTCAATAGTTATGTTGTTCAAACAGAAGCTGTGCGACGAAGAGAATAAAAGCAGGTGATTGGTTAAGATCTGTTTAGTCAATGAACTATCTTTGTACATGGTATTCAATCCCATTGATTCAGAAGCACACAAGAACTGTGGAAAACACGGTACTTTGATGATGGCGACACTTAGGCAGTCGACAAACCTGTTTCATCGACGTAAATCTAAGGCGTAGTTCCATCATCTTGGTGCTTCCGAATCCATGAAAAAATTTATGCAGTACGGTGACAGGATGATACATATTCAGAAGATTTGCAAGCAAGCCCACAATAATGTTACATAATCCTCGGCTCAGATGGATCAAAGCGATTCTGTGTAAACATTGAGAATCTTGAGTGAGTACACGCAATTCATATAACGAGATGTGATGCGACAATCCGAAACTCATCAAAAATTGATTGTGAATATCGTTAAGGGAGAATTCATCATCATCATCATCATCATCATCATCATCATCATCATCATCATCATCATCATCATCATCATCATCATCATCATCATCATCATCATCATCATCATCATCATCATCATCATCATCTCCGCAGAAGCATTGCAATTCGTGTATACCCGGAGGCTGTTTTCTGTCTGATTCGCTTGAAGAATCATGGTGTTAGTGGGTCCAAAATCCCATTGATGGATGATATTCCATTGAGAACCAAACCATCCACATCCTGCTTTACCCCAGTTTGATTCCAGGTTGTCAAATGCAGCTGATTCATCTCGGTCCTGACCACCGTAAATTCCCTGAGCCAATCTGTATCAATTCATACTTGAACTCCGCCAACTATGCATACACACTTACACACACTAATAATGATTGATATTTAAATGTTCGAACAACGCAGGAGACATAGATATCCAACCTGCAAGATTGGAAGTTGATGCTAAATCGATCTTTACTAAAACGGAGTTTATTGTCGTACACCCAACTTGAAAGAGAATGCAACGAGGGAGCATTATCAATCAAGTCACTTCTAGCTCATGGGAAAGGTCGTTATTGGTAGCGATGAGGAGCAACGGGAAATAATCACGAATTACAAGTCACAAATCAGGAATCCCACCAACAGTCGTATATCTGAGTTTACCATCCACGAGTTACAGGACAAAGCTCTCGAAGGAGTGACAATCCATTTATTGAAAGTAATTAATGGAATTAATCAATATGTGAATAAAGAGGCATCAAACAATTGCTTTTCGCGTTCTTCGTGTCACAAGAATCCTCTTTGAACTGTATAGCTTTCGGTTGGTCAAAACTGTTGGCCTGTGATCTATTATCCTGAAATTGTCACACGTAGCTGCTTGGCTGGTGTTGTCTCGGTGAATTGAAGGGAGAGTGAAACCGAGCTTCTGTTTTGGATTTCAACGGACAGACTGTAGAGTATTCGCAACACTGATCTCCATTCCGGGCTGCATCTCTAAGCGTCTTTGACCACTGACAGTCCTCATCCCTCAGGCCCCAACTGAAGCCAATGCTGAAACTAACTTCTTGATGCTGCTACACCATGTCATCATCCGACCACCGTGACACCTCTTCCAGTCCCTCTTCCTGTCATGGCTACTGTGCGTGTCGCTGGGTGGTAAAAAAGTATTTCAACTTTTTCCATTCCTCAGCATCACCTCCAGCTATGCGAAAACTTTCGAGCTGTTTATAGGTCCCGACTATTTCTGACCGATTACAGGTACAGGCTTACCTCAGTTGCCAAACTGTTTAAAGTATGCTGGATCGTTTGTAATTTGTCACGTATCAAGACAATGTCATCAGCGCATGGCCCTCAACTCGACTTGAGGTATGATGATACAACGGTTTGAGGGTGAACGTACACCCTCGTGCTTGTTCGTCACGTTGGAAATTATCCTTTGTCTCGTCCATATATCGGGGCTAATCATGTCCAGGATCTACAAATATTCTCGTCGGGACAT